CAACTTCCCCAACACATTTGGAGTTCATTCCACTAGGTCAGACTGTTAATCAAGCTTTCTGTTTAGAGGTTCTGAAGATTGTGTAACAGTGTGCGACAAGAAAAGGCCTGATTTGTGGCAGCTGGGAGACCGGTTTTACCAGGTTTTGCCACTTCGACAATGCACCTGCTCACGCAGCCATCACAGTGTGCCAGTTTTTGGCAAAAAGCAGCATGCTTCTTTTGTAATGGGAGAGTACTTTGAAGGTGATAAGGTTGTTTTGTAAAAAATATTTAAATACATACCTTTAAAAATTTACTTTTTTTGGGTGGGGGTGGGGGGCTCCTTATAGAATTTAGTCATTGCATACCTACTGAGGGGCAGGTGAGTTTTTTTCCCCCACAAGGTAATTTATGCTTCACAACTTCTAAAAATCGGTATTACTTTTGCCTTTCTGTTTAAACAACTTAAGCTCCGTGTGGTCAAATAACTTGAAGCGGGTCAATGGATGAGCTTACCAGATTCTGGATCCAAAAGCTACGTTGGTGTCAGTGGTCAACAGTGTGACCAGTTTGGTTACTTGCTGTATGTACGTAAATGCGAGGGGCCTGGGTTGAGGAACCAGAGGAAACTGCCTAAGACACTAAAAAGTCAAAGGTGAACAAGGCGAAGTAGCTCCGTGAGGCGGGAGCTGGGGCCAGCAAGCAGATCCTACCTAAGCGGGAGGTGAGAGAAGGCAGCAAGTCCCCAGTGGGCTCGCCTCCTTCCCGGCCACGTGGTCGCTCCGACTCGGGGACCCCACGGGGCAGGGTACCACTCCCGGGGGACTTCCGAGGCTGCAGCTCTGCCCGGGAGGAGAAAGCCTGTCCACTCCCAAGAGCAGCGGGTGTTTTCGAACTGCTGGCCCGCGGCATAAGTCATCGCGCCGAGAACTCCGGAGAGCACGGAGCGACTCGGGGCGCGGAAACGGGCGCCCTGGACCATTTGGGGACACGCCAGCAGTGCCTCCTCTGGAGTGGAGGACAAGGTGAGAGGACCGTGGGTGACGGCGTGATGAGTGGCGCCTTCAATTGTCTAGAAAACGAGTCTTAAAAATGATGCACGGAAGAAAAAAGACTTTCTGTATCTGAGTTGGTCGAACAAGCACGAAGCTCCCGGGGAGAGGGCCCCGAAGAGGCGGAGTCCCCCCTTGTCCGATTGGCACGGTCCGCCCCCCGCCCCCCGCTGACC